GGCGCTGAGTTCCCATTGTTTTTAGTTGATAAAGTTTATTTGTATCGTAGTGTTGGGACGGTGTAGGTATAGTGTCCTTGTAAACAGCGGTTTTCCGGTTCGGTTCTCTGTGTTACTACGTTAAACCTTTTCCTAATACAATTAGAAAAGACCGATTGTACGACACAGGAAATTTCGAAGGAGATTTCCGTCACTCAGCCAATGCGTTATTTTCTGCTATTTCTTCTGTCTGCTTTTGAATTACAAAATGGTCATTGAAAATCTTAACGGCTCCTGTAAAAGACAACAAAACTACGAATTAAAAATGTTGCGGCTGAGGGGGTTTTCAGCCCCTGAGACAAGTGGAGCTGCACGTGCGAAGCCCCTACATCTTAGTGACAGGAGCGTGCATTACGCAATATCTCCACCATAGTTAGAGAGGAGTTTACGAATGCATGTGGGAAATGGAAGGCAATAAGAAGTCAGGTGCTTAAGAAATAGGTGAAGCAGCCGTAAAAGTTCCCGGAATTGCGGTGACCAGATTCAGAGCACTTAGAACCGTCAAACCGGTACCATGTTTTCTTCTCTTCGTAAATTTGAATTTTTTTCGACGAAATTTCAGGATAGAGAGTGGTCTCAAAATGTATAGACAACCAGATTTGCGCTGTTTTTTTTAATGTAGTTACAGGGTAGTAAACGTTGGGAAAATTAAAATTTTTCTGCGATGTTACTGATCAGCTGTTGACGCTAAATGAGTTTATTTGTAATGCTGATTGTAGAAGGAAAAGCTTTCTTGGGTAAAATAATAAGAAACCGATTTCCTGAAGAATTCCCCTATTAAATTGAATATTTATTTTGACTTTCGTATCTAATACTCACTTTCTTATTACAGGATTGTTAGTGAGCAATTGAAGCTTTTCACAAAATTTTGACTTGCTGTTTGGATTGAGTTTACCGTTACGTTAATTTCCGCTTTTTGTGTTGCTCAAACGCTGTCGTTGCTTTTCAGGCTTCAATGCGTCCTGAGTTTTGTGAATTTATTGCGGAGAATGAGTGGGTGGAGGTATTCATGTTCAGTACTAATTGCTTCAAGTTTTTTAAATCTTTTTTCCTCTTGTATTTGTATGTTAACTAATTTACCCACTTTTTGGTAAAAGGTACTTGCTTTGCATTTCAGTCTTTCTAGATAAAACCAAATTTCAATGGAGAACAGCTTCAGTTGATATGTGGCGACATAGGTCCATTTGAAGCCGGAGTCCCTCTTTCAGTACCTCTTTGGGTGGCCGTGTTTTTGAAAAAAAAGCATTCTTGTGAAATTATAGTGAGTTTTTCAGATAAGAAAATATTACCAGTTAACAATCGTGTGTAGTTGAAAGGAGAAGTTTTTCAGCTACCGGAGTGGTTAACTTTAGAAAGTTTGGGAAAGATGATTGTGGCAGAGAACGATTCCCCTTCTTTTTCCCGTATCCCTAAGCATTTTATTGAAATGGCGCACACTATTTTATATTATTTTAAAGATGATATTGTTAATGGTGACCAGGTACTTTGTTTCTTTCAAAAACTGTTTAGTTTATGAAGGGGCTTTTCTGTTACTTGGTTTTTCTTTATTTGTTAAAAGTTGGTTTTAACGCTTTTGCTTGTATGTTGCTTCATTAACCTACTCCTAGATCAAAACATGCGTGCTAGACGTATGGGACAGACGGGTAGCGAAGATGAGGTCATCGACACTGAAATTTTTGTCTGAGGTCTCTGTTGACTTTATACCGTTCTGAACCAAAATTTTTTTTTTTTATTGCAGCTTACATTTCAGGTGAGAAGTCATTAAAATTTGTATAGTAACTTAATACTACTGCCCTAGTTACTTCACGATGTTGTTTTAGTGGGTAGAATTAACGGTTACTTTACGTTTGTTCCAGGCCAATTCTTCTCATGCACGACTGGATAATATAACTTTTTTTGAGGTTTGTTACGCCAAACCGCCGATTCTAGAAGCTATTAAAAATATTCGAGATTTTCATACTGTTTTAAATAGCGTCAGACCATCTTAATTGTTCTTGAATGTCATATAAGATTTTCGAAGCCAAAAAAGCGTGTTTTAATTTATTCTTTTTTTTCTCTGGGCTTCTCTTGGTTCAAAGCCGTCGCCTAATCATTTACAGTTCAAAACTTCATTGTAAAAAAGAAATCTTTCTGTAAAAAAGTTAGCTTATTTTTCATGGCACCGGCACTCTTCGTTGTAAGGAATGCCTGGAACAGTAGAAGTCCAGAAATAAACGGATAAGGTTATCCCTAGTCTGTGGTCATGAGTTCTCGATCTTTTTTATAGTGCCTTATCTCAATGAGAAACCTTCCTAAACTCATTGTCTGTTGTACTTATGATCGATAAAATTTATAGTTTTGTCGTCTTAAGTTGAGAAAGCTTTTAGTATTTTCTTATCTTTGAAGGTTTGTGTTTGTGCTGATCGTTTGTTGGTTTTGAATTTTATGACCTTGTTCAACTCAATTTCTTTAGCGAGTTTGATGTTTTTTGAATTATCGCAGTTTTTCTGAAAAGCTCTTGTAATGAAAATGTTGTATTGGTTAAACTAACGAAACCTGGAGCATTCTTGTTTGTAGTGAACATATTTCCTTTGAGTTCTTCTTTAGCTCAAATGTACTGGAAACATAGAAAGTAGAGTGGGATTTTGCCCTCCGTCTGGAATTATAGTTCCCTAAGGTCAAAGCACCGGTGCTTCTCCTTTATCTCACAGAAATCATTTAGAAAAAAAAAATGGAGGGGGAGGCTGTCGAGAAAAGCTGGAGCTTTGCAGGATGGTCAAGTAAATGATAGTTTTA